GGACAATTTGGCTGGATATAGGATTCTTGGTGGGAAGTTCTTTTCCTTCAGGGTTTTATATATGCTGTCCCATTGCTTTCTTGCCTGCATGGTTTCTGCTGAGTAATCAGAGCTCAGACGAATTGATTATTATAAGTCATATATCTGTTGTCCTGGGCAGCTTGCAAAATTCTTTCTTTGTCTTTGGTTTTGGAGAGTTTGATTATAATATGCCTCAGTGTTTTTCTCTTGGGATCTATCCTGTATGGAGTTCTTTTAGCTTCTAGGACAAATATCTTTTCTTCCTTCATGATATGGGGGAAGTTTTTGTTAGTAGGTCTTCCACAATTTTCTCAGTGTTTTTTTTTTTTTTTTTTTCCCACCTCTTGTTCTGGAATTCTAATGAGGTCTATGTTGTTTCTTTCCATGTTGTCCCACATAACTCTTGAGTTCTCTTCATTTCTCTTAAATCTTTGTTCTGATTTTCCTTCATACAGGCTGGTGTCCAGGGATTTGTCTTCGAGTTGGGATATGCATTCTTCAGGCAGTTCTGTTCTACTTTTTTGGACTTCCACTGTATTGTGTAATTTTGGTCTTCATCTTCTGGATTTCTAACTGCTGTTTTTGTATGAGATCTGGCAGTGCACTAATCTTGTTATTTTGTTCTTGAATGTATTTCCTGAGTTCTTCCAGGGAACTGTCTATGTTCTCCTTGCTTCTGTTTGGGGTTTCCGTAGGCTCTTGTAGAGCTCTATAAACATACCACTACATTCCTTCTCAGATAATTCTATTGCCTCCTCTTCCTCCATGTTTAATGAGACCTTTGCTTGAGATTTTACTTCTAATGTCTTGTCCTGTGGTTTTTATTATTATTATTATTATTATTATTTGAGGTTGCCTGTTGTTTCCTAGACATTTTGAGGTTGTCTTTAACTGTTGGTTATGTATTGATTTGTTTTGTCTTGGTTTTGTGATTTAATATTTGAAAACGTGAAGCTGGTGTCTTTTATTTTTTTGGCTATTAGTTCAGGTGTGCTTGGTTGCTCTGCAGTTTTCTCTGTGATGATGGAATTGCTGTGTGGAATGTGGATGCAGGTCTCTGTTTGTCATAAAGGGAGTTTAGGATTTTAACCAGAAGGTATGATGGTGGCTGAATGTGGTTTTTCTATTAGATGGGGCAGTGTAGAGGTGGAGAAAGTAGGAGGAGAAGAGAGAATGAAGAAAAGCTCCAAAGTGCCAGGAGTGGCTTCTCAAGGTGGCAGGAGCAGTTTCTAGGGCTCTGAGTGGTCTGCTAATGATGATGATGTACTGTTATTCACAGGCCCACAGCTCAAGTTCAGCAAAGACTCCAATTGTTAGGTCGCTGCCCTGATCTGAGATCCACTGTGGGAGTTCCTCCTGGGTCTGCCCACTTACAGTGTTAATGTTCTCTCTGCTCAGGCTTCAGTGGTACTGGAGCCAGAGAAATCTCTGCTCCCACCCAGAGGTCCCAAATTTACTGATAAAAGCAGGTACTGAAGGTAGATCTGTGGAGTGGCCGCAGGTTCTCTGGTGTGGTGCGTTCTCTCCACTACCCCAGGGAGGTCTCCAATGGGCTTTCTTGCCTGTTGGTCTTTGCTCCCTAGGGAGGTCTCTGATGGCCTTTCTCACCTGCTGGTTGGCACTCCAGAGTTCAGGTTCACCTGTTTTTGTTATTTTTCCCCCCTCTGGGTAATTGCACTGCCCCTTTCTCCTTTCTAATCCTACTCTCCCGAGTTTGGCTTACTCTGACTTAATGAGCTGTTCCGAGCAGCAGAATCCTCATTTCAAACTGCTGCACCTAGTTTTTCAGGCACTAAGATGTTAGAGGGAACTAGTGTGGGAACTACAAAAGAGATGCCCTTTTGAGCTTTTCTGAGACTCTTTCTGACTTTCCAGGCATTTCATACTCCAGGTCTTATCTTCTTTAACTAGGTCATCATTTCCAGGCACGAATCAAACTGATGCTCATGGTCAGCAGTGCAGAGAGGTTTCATTATCAATTCCATGTAATGGACACTCATCATAAAAAGTTCCTCATGGTACTGCTGTTGATTATGAAACACCCAGAGGGACAATCAAATACAGGATTGCTCAAAAGATACTAAACAAGATGCTAATTTTCTATCTATCAACCTGGAAATAGTAGCCTTCAATCAACTCCAACTGATAGGACCAGCATGTGTGTTAGAGTATCTCTGCCCTTCACAGGGATTTCAAGGCTGTGACCGTTCACAAGCAGATTGCCAACCCTTACTTCTGAAGGGCCATTGGATACATTGAATCAACAAACTTTCAGTTAGTAGTTGAACCCATAATAATTTGTGGCACCCAAGGATTCTTATGTTTCTTATACAATACATCATTATTATACACACAATATAAAACATATACATTCATATTGAAAATATTTTATATAGTGTACATGGTATATTATACATGGTATATAGAGTATATTTATAGATACATGTTTTGTACATAAGATAATAGAGAAGTTGTTGTTGTTGTTGTTATGTGCCGTCGAGTCGGCCCCGACTCATAGCGACCCCTCCTTGGGCTTCCGAGGCAGTATCACTACGGAAGTAGGATTGCCCAACCTTCCTTCCGAGGAGTGGCTGGTGGGTTTGAACCGCCAGCCGTCTGGTTAGCAGGCAAATGTCTTAGCCACTATGCTACCAGAGCTCCCAATAGAGAAGTTATGCTTATATAATTAGATATATACTATTAGAATATATGTTTATGGAATGCATATGATTATATATTTATACATCAGTATTATGTATTTACACATATATATTATAAAACATATATGGTATGTGCATATTGTTAATAAAGTTAATCCCAAATCTATGATGAGGGTCTCTCTATGTAGATTCAGAGATGTTGAATCCCTCATTTGCTTTTAATTTTCATTAAAACTGCCTTTTATTATGAGTACATTTATAAAACCAATTTGATTGTAATGTAAAACTTGAAAAATATGGCCTTTGTCATAGAAACAACACCAGAGATGACATGAGAGAATTTTGCAAGACCAATGAGCTATTCTTCAAACAGAACTTTGTTCAACAACAGAACTACCTGAGCCAGCAGCCTATCTTGACATTATTTACCAACGTGCACAGCTTTCTGAGCTAGAAGCTTGTAGCATGACCTGCTATTTTGGGTTCATCAGCCCCTGCAACTCTGAGTCAGGAGAAGCCTTCAGCCTAATACCAGTCCCATTGATTTGGGATGTGGTAATTTCTGCAGCCATGTGATCTATTTCCTTGATAGTTCTTGAGTTCCGTGACATGTTGCAGTGAATTATGGAGCCCAAGGATGAGAGGGAGCAGAGTGAGAGGAAGATGAGTAGTTGATGATAGAAATGAAGGGGTTACAGTTTTTAGAATAGGTGGAGATTTGGGACATCCTCTGCCTCATAAGACCCAGTTTTGTGCTGATTCTGATCAAATGAATCATTCACTCAACAAGGCCATATTTTGATATATTGTACATAGGGTCACTAGCAGTCATAAAGGTATCAACAGCACTAACAACAACCATATTAGGATATTTTTATAATGTTTCTACCACCTCATATGATGGTTTGAGGGGTTTTATGCACTTTAGACCATGAGTTTGGTGTCAATTTATTTAAAGTATAATCTAAGAAGAGTACAAATGCACATTGTGTATCCTGGGGTCTCTCAATATTAGAGATTTACTTTACACTTACTGGAATTATTCTTTGTTGCCAGGTGGAATTGTAAACTGGGAAAGACATGGTATATGTAGATGATATACTGATTAGAGGAACTCAACTGGATTTCTTTCTGTTTAATTTTTGCTGTGATTTAGGTGAAAGTTTACAGAGCAAGTTCATTTTCCGTAAGTTCATACACATACTGTATCATGACACTGACTGCATCCCTACGATGCAGTAGCTGTCTTTCCTCTTCCTCCCTCTAGTTACCTCTTCCCAGTGTCCTTCTTTCCTATGCATTCCTATCCCTGAGCTACCTCCCTGTGCAAACACTGCCCTTCCGTTCTCCCATGATGGATCATTCTAAAGAGCTCATCTACCTGATGTAAGTGTTCACCTATATGCCTGTCTGGAAGCCTTGGGAGTGAGCTCAGTTCTACACCTGAAGGGTCACTAGGGGCCATAATCTAGGCTGTTTCACCAGGCACAATCAGGCCAATAAGCCTGGACTTTTTTTTTTTTTTTTTATGATTTGAGTTTTGTTCCACACTGTTTTCTCAATTTATCCAGGATCTCCTGCTTTGATCCCTTTCTGAGTGATTGACACTGATAGCTGGGCACCATCTACTTCTTCTGGTCTCATGGTCATATAGGCTTGTGTTCCCATGGTCCATTAGGCCCTTGGACTAATTGTTTCCACATGCCTTTGATTTTCATCATTCTTCTTTGTTCCAGATGAGGAGAGACTATTTGTTGCATGTGGATGGTTGTTTGCAAGCTTTAAAGACCCCAGATAGTACTCAGTAAAGTAGGATGTAGAAAATTGTTTTTGTGTAATATGCTATGCCAATTGAGCTGGCATAGTCTCTGACCATGGTCTTGAGCCCACAGATCCAACTACTTGCTCCATCAGTATGGCTGACTGTGGCTAAGAAGTTATCATGTCTTTGCCCCATTAGTTTCAATTATATGCACATTCCTAAAGCACATACAAATACATATGTAGAAATATCATCTGCCAATTCAATTGTGAGTGTCAAACCCCAACTTCTTCTGAATTGCAGATGCTTATTTATAATTCAGAAGCTACTGCCATGGGCACACAATGTCAGGGGTTTCAGCCAGAAGTGAGACAAAGTTTTACTTAAGTAATGAAGACTAAGTATTGCCTAGGCTAACACCACAGAGTTTAACTAATATTTAAAATGTAGTGTGGAGCCAGGTTTTGTATTATGCAACTTTCATGAAGCACAGTTTATTTAAGTCCAAAAAATACAATCATTCAAAGAGAGGTGGTCAACCACTGTACTGTAATTACCTGCTTACCTTGGCCTTGGAATTGAAAAATGACTTGGGAAAGAGTTGAATGGGAAGGTGGGAGGAGTAGAAGCGTTGGCCTTTCTTATTTTTTACAGCTTCATACCCAGTTTCAGTCTCTAACCATGGTGAACGTTCAAAGTTGAAAACCGATTGGACCCAGGTGGGATCTCCATTGGAGTGGATGAGACTGATGATGTCAATCATCCAATTGGATCCTGAACAAGGAGAGAAAAGAGAGGGTCAGCTCCTTCAACATGGCTTTGGTCCACGCAACTGTATCTAAGAGACATTTTACTATTTCTCCGATGATGTCCATGAATATAAATCCTATTAGATTTATTTTTCATCTGACTTCATTCCTTACCTGCATTCTAGGATTCTTCCTTCTTGAAATACACTTTGCTTTTGATTTTCATGAGTAAAAAGTTCTTTTGACTTCCTACTACTCTGGTTTCTACTGCTCAATCTCGTTGCTCCTCCCTCATCCAATATTCAGCATTTGACTCTCTAACCATTCACCTGACCCTATGCATCCAGCATGGCTCTCTTGGGTTGCAGCAGGTGATGTGAAGAGAGAATAATCAAGGCATCAAACTCCCACAGGAATTCAAAATCCCATGAGTCATATGACCTCTACCATCATCCAGGCCAGACACACTATGCATTGAAGCCATACCCATATGTAGAACAGGAGAGGAAAGTGGACTCACAGACCCTCCCTTTTTGGTTACCTTCAATCATTAATTTTTGTCTTGCATGACCATGCTTTTTCTGCCTTTTGAAACTGTTCCCTGAAGTACTTTGTATAGTTTCATAGTTTTCTCTGGGAAGAGTGGTCCTGTAGTACCAGATACTGCATCCTGGCTTGAAGTAGGCATTGTATTGAATATAATGTTGCTTATATCCCACCTGAATTTAGAGACCATCTGAAGAAAAATTTATTCATTGAATGTGAGTGAAGGAAGCCTTAACAAATTGCAGGATGACATCAAGAACATCATACACGAAGAAAGAAAAAGATCACCAAAAAGACAGGAAAGGAATAAAAAAGAAAAAATGGAGGTGAGAAGAGAACCTGAAACTTGTCCTTGACTGGGGAGTAGTTCAAGCAAAGGAAGAAATGACATGATAAAGAGTGGAGCAGAAGACTTCAGACAGCAGCCAGAGAAAACACAGTCAATTATTATAAAGAAATGTGCAACGACCTGGAGCTACAAAAGCAAAAGGGAAGAAGACACTCAGTAGTTCTCCAGCTGAAAGAACTGAAGAGAAAATGCAAGCCTTGAGTTGCAATATTGAAGGATTCTATGGGGAAAATAATTGAATTATGCAGGAAGCATCAAAAGAAGATGGATGGAATACACAGTCACTGTACAAAAAAGAACTGGTCGATACTCAACTATTTTAGGAGGTGACATGTAATCTCGAGCAATGGCATTGAAGGAGGAAGTCATAGCTGCAGTGAGGGAAGTTGTGAAAAACAAGGGTCTAGAAGTTGCTGAAATACCCGTTGAGATGTTTCAAGAAAAGGATGGAGCACTAGAGGCACTGCCTCATCCATGCCAAGTAAGTTGGAAGACAGCCATCTGGCAATGTGACTGGAAGAGATCCACACTTGGACCCATTCAAAAGAAAGATGATCCAACAGACTGTGGGAACTATCAAACAATATTATTATTATCAAATGACTTGACTCATAACGACCCCTCCTTGGGTTCTGAGGCAGTCTTTCTACAGAACCAGATTACCCAATCTTCCTTCTAAGGAGGGGCTGGTGGGTTTGAACTGTCAACTTTATGATTAGTAGTCAAGTGCAATCCTAGTGAGATTTAAAAACTACATTCGTCTAACATCCATATTTCAGTCCTGTCAATGGATTTCTGTTGCCTTTGGGACAAATTTCTAATTCCTCAAGAGTGGCCTGATTCACAGGTTCACATGAACTTAATATGTAAACATATTCAGCCTACCATCCAGTTATTCCCTGCCCTTGTGCTTAACAAAACAAACAGCCATGTCCTTTCAGGCAGTTAAACATGCCTCAGTGTTTTTCAACTCCACACATCCACACATGTAACCCCTTCTGCCCTTTTCACCTGACATTCTCACATTCATTTTAGCATCCCAGGTGTTTCAGTTCTCTAGGGCACTCTAACAGAAAATATAACATATTTATATCTTTAACAAACAGGAATTTATTCTCTTACAGAGGCCACAAGTCCAAGTTCAAAGTGCCAGCTCCAGGGGCTGGATGAAGCCTCCCAGACCTTTGGCTTCAGCTCTGCCTCTTGCTCCTGACCCAATGAAGATGGAGGCTTCTCTTACCTCAGGCAGCTAGTGGCTGGTGACTTTGACAAACCCAAGGTTAACAGGTAAAATGCAACATTTCAAGATATTAAGCAACAGGCCAGGCCCTAGTTCAAGTCCAGAAACAGTCCCAAGATCAGCAGACAACGTGGCAGGCCACTCACTGATGACTCAGGATCCAAAGGTGCCAAGAAACTCAAGAGCTTCTCAATGTGTCTTCTTACATACTGGAAGAAGACCACATCCCTACAGCCACTTCTCAGCTACCCCAGGGGATTCCACCATGGAACTGATGGAAAAATCACCACATCCCACTGTCCATCCTCTCTAAACCAGGCCTGCCCAAGCTGACCCATAACTTTAAATACCTCACTAGGATTTGTTGTTGTTGTTGTTATGTGCCGTCGAGTTGGACCCGACTCATAGCGACCCCTCCTTGGGTTTCCGAGGCAGTATCACTACGGAAGTAGATTGCCCCATCTTCCTTCCGAGGAGTGGCTGGTGGGTTTGAACCGCCAGCCTTCTGGTTAGCAGTCAAGTACCTTAGCCACTATGCTACCAGAGCTCCCACTAGGCTAGAGGCTTCTTTTTCCACTACTTATTCAGTAATCTGTCCCTCTATGTCCTACCCACAAAATTCTACATTAAAATTCTCCCCTCTTATTGTTTTTCTTAGGGGCTATCAACTCCATTTCGACTCACAGCAATTTCAACCCCACATTCACCCGAATGAACCACTGCCCGTTCCTGTCCCATCCTCCAAACTGTTGTTGTGCTTGTGCCCGTCGTTGCAGTCACTGTGCCAATCCATCTGGTTCAGTGCCTCCCCATTTTTTGCTCACCCGCTGCTTTACGAAGCATGATATCCTTCTCCAGGGACCAGTCTCTCCTTGTAACTTCACCACAATATGAGAGACTAAGTTGGGGCATTCTCACTTCTAGGGGAGCTTTTGGCTACACTCCTTCCAAGGGAGATTGGTTGCTCTCTGGCAATTTATGATACATTAATATTCTTAGTCAAGACCACAATTCAAAGGCATCAGTTATTCTGCAGTCACATGCGTAAGCAAACACCAAAGCCAAACTCAGTGCCGTTGAGTTGGTTCCAACTCATAGCAACCCCCATTGGGTTTCCAAGGTGGTATCTCTACAAAAGTAGATTGCCCAGTCTTCCTTCTGAGCAGTGCCTGGTGGGTTTGAAATGCCAGCCTTCTTGTTAGCAGTCAAATGTCTTAGGCACTACACCACCAGAGCTCCCATATGCAAGAGGAAAAAACAAAACAAAACAAAACAAAATACCTCACTGCCATCAAGTCAACTCCTACTCACAGTGATCTCTCCTAGGGTTTCCAAGGCAGTATCACTATGGTAGTAGATAGTCTAATCTTCCTTCTGAGGGGTGGCTGGTGGGTTTGAACTGCCAGCCTTCTGGTTAGCAGTCAAGTGCCTTAGCACTATGCCACCAGAGGTCCTATATGCAGAAAAGGCTATTGAAATGACAATTGCTTGGGGCAATTAAGACAATTGCTTAGTCCCTGTGATCACGTCCCTTTAAATAACAATTCCATGTATTAATCCCTGTCTCAAACTGTGAAATCCACTAGAACACCAATCTATTTACCAAAAGATAGGCAAGGGTGAGGCAGAGAAAAATAACTCACTTGATATCCACAGCCTTACCCAATTCCAGATGCTGTCTCCTTACCAGATTTTGGGTAAGTGAGTGTAATCACATCACCATCCCTCACCACAAATTCATCTCTGACCGATCTCAGATCTTCAGTTTTGTAACCTGTTTGAGGGAAAGCAATATCTTCAAACCACAAATAATCAGAAGCCATCCTAAGAAATATCTATGGGCTTGCACTTGTCAGTCTGGTCTTCACAATGTTAGTGACAGATGACTCTATTTGTTCGTACTGAGAGAGGAACTCTTTGAATAAAGCAAGGTCAGAGTGCAAAGGTTTGAAAGATTAGGGCCCAATAATCTCCAGATTACACACACAATTACAGATCACTGATATCAGTAGAAAAGGGCAGATGTAGCTGAATATTCATCACCCAACAGGGGTCTCCCTGAGTTACACGGGGGTGATTGCAGGGGAGAGAGGACCCAGAAACTCAATAAACAACCAGAACAGCAAGGAAGTGTCAAAATCTTTCCAAAATTAAGGGAATTCTGAAAACATGGATGTTAATTAGACACTTTTACTTTCTGACATACACTTGTCCCTGTTGACTGGCAACTTTTTCCAAGGTGACCCACTTAGTACTTGATGTTATGGAAATTTTCCAAGGAGGTTAAAACTTCCTCATGAGTAGGTATCAAGAGTCCAAAAGACTTTTCAGGAGGTGTAGTCAAAGACATGATTGTTCATTGAGAAGAGAAACAAAAGAATGGGGAGAGAGGAATATAAAGACAAAGAAAGCAGGCTTACAAAACGTTGCTCACAGTTCAGAGTCCAGCAGTGGGGGGCTGGAACTGATCCAAGATGACGGCTACCCCCTCCCAATTTATTGGGCTATTTATACCTGAGTTTGAGGAATTGGGGATGGGGACTACATGACTGGTCTCAGATTGGATGGCTCCACGTTCCGTTTGATTTGGGACCCAGGACAGTACCTTGAAAACTACCAGTGGGTGTTCTGATAAGATGCTGCCATTAACAAGCTTACTGTCTAGAAACTATTCTAAGAATGGGTTAATACATTACATGGGAGGGGGTTAATACGTGATGAGGGGAAGTAGGGAAATGACTTTCAGTATTTGCAGGCTTGTGCAAACCAGATGGAGTCTGGCAACATTGTGGGGGGTTTCAGGTATTGACCATGTGATTGATACACATGAGGGTCAGTCCCATCCAAGTGCAAGTCTAAAGCCATGAAAAATGTGACTTTACTAATAGGAATACACTAGATTCCTATAGCATATGATGTGGTGGCTAAAGCACTTGACTGCTAACCAGAAGGCTGGCAGTTCAAACCCACCAGCCACTCCTCGGAAGGAAGGTTGGGCAATCC